TCCTTCCGGTCCGTGATTGGATTGGAAGGTATTGTTGGACCCGTGGGGGCTCTCCACGAGTCCCTTTTTGATAATTCGAATCCGAACTATTCAATGTGTAGAACTTGTCGAGTACTATATGCCTGTAAAAATTCACGTTGATCAGATATTGATAGTTACGTGATCAAATCAGTTTTGTATAAAAAAAAATGAACGGTGAAAAAATAAATAGTTGACAGAAAACTGATTGGATCACATAGTTATTGATATCCGATCAAAGTGATTTTTTTAAAAGCATATAATACTTAACGATTTCTACATATGCAATAGTTCAGATTATCAAAACGAGACTTGTAGTGAGCCTTTACAGACCTAATAACACCTTCTAATCCAATCACGGACGAAAGGGAAGCCACCGCCTTCTTTATTGACCTTTACCGGTCCGTGTTCCAACAAACAAGGTCAGCAAAAGGAGATGATTAGCTGGGAACTTGGGTCGCTCGTTAAACCATACAAGAGTCCAAAAACTTGAAGGCTACTATCATTTTGGGCCAGCTCTTCTCGAACTCAAATTACTAATGGGGGCCCAGAATTGCTAGGCAGACTTACTGGGTCTCAGGAAACAGGTTATTATTATAATAATTTTTTAATTAAAATGTATAATTAACAAATGAGACTTAAAAAAATTGAATCAAGGTGACCACATGGAGCGGAATTAATGGTGTGGATTGAAATTCATGATTAGTTAGGATGGAACGCATACAGACGATTGCCCCCTCCTTAAAACAATAGGGCAAAATGGAAACGAATGATTAAAAGGTCATTTTAAGAAGCAATCACAAATCTCTCTCTCTCTCTCGCTCTCGCGTTTACTTATCATCAAGGTTTTCACAGAAGGAACTCCACGATTGCGTCTCTGCGTAGCTCTCTTCGTCACTGTCTTCTTCTGGTAATAATCGAGCCCCCTTTCTTCTCTCTCTAGATGTATAATATGTAGATACATATTACTGTATGTGCTTGTATATCTATTAGATCTTCGTTTTAATTTTCTTTTTATTTGATTTCTTCTTTGTTACATTTTTTTTTTTCAATTTTTGTTTTGTTTTGTAATTTGTATATTAATTTTGCTGGCCTCATCGAAGGTTCATCTTTTATTTCAATTTCTTGTCACATTTTTATTTATGTTCTTGAAACTTCTAGATTAATTTTACTTGCCTCATCGAAGATCTTAGTTTTGAATGCTTATGGTGTCTCAAGCATGTCTATATTATAGAGTAGCGGAGCCAAGATTTTTGATAACATTAAAGTTGAAGCCTTGTCTTTTCTAATTTATTCTAATAATATATGAAGCCAATACACCATTTGATGCTCAGCCAAATAACAAGTTAAAGTTATGTGATCGTTTCCCCCCAAAAAAGGTCCGTACACAGAGCAATAATTTACAACCTGCTTAGTGACTTTCTATCCCCGAATCGAGGGTAATGATGACATATTCATTATTCAGTTACTTTACGGTGGTAATAGCTTCTATATGTCCGCCATACCATATTATGGGCAAAATCCATTTGACCCCTTGTGGTTTTGGCCTAGAGTAGTTTAACCCTCTTAGATTTACATATATACAAAAAGCCCTAATGTAGTTTGACTCCTTTTACACCTCGCATGCCTTGCCTCCACTTCCCCACCACCATCACCAGCTCCACCTACCTCCACCCACCTGCCCCGCCATGCTTCCACCACCCTTGCCACTCCCTTCCTCCTTTCTCTACCTTGCACCTTTCTAACTTGTTCCTATTGAATCAATGCAAGATTTCAAAGAAGAAGAAGAAAAAAGAGCATATGGATTCAGAACTTGACGGATTAGTGTAGTGAGATGGGATTTTTCCAATAGACAAGGGATATGTATATGATGGGACTTAAGGCTTTATTTGGTTTAGTTTAGTTGTAAGGGATATGTATATATATATAGTTATTGGGTACTAAGTATGGTTTTAAAAAGCGGCCGCAATTGTTATGTAATAGTTTTAGTGGTTATCGCCTCCCGTTATGATCGCCATAGTAGTGACAAAATTAATTTCCGTAATGGCTGCCACAATTACATAAATGTTTTACATTGTTGTTATAACACTATTACTGCCGTTACGACCATTATGCCTTTTTTTACAATTTTTATATAAGGCTATTTTTCTTTCTTTTTCTTTTTCTTTTTCTTTTTCTTTTTTATTTTTTTTTATTTTAGTCTAATTGCACAAAAAAAAAACAAAAAAAGAAAGCGCGCGCACACACCCACACCCACACACACAAAACTTATGTATTAGATTTACATATTATAAATGTCCAATCTTCAACATTTACAACACTTGAGTTGCTATCAAGAATAAATGAACTTACTTTTCGCCTTCCTTTTTTTTTATTTCTTTCTAACTTTCGTAACTTTTTATTTTTATTTTTATTGACAAGCTTTCTTTATTTTCTCACTTATTTTTTTGAATATTAACTTATATCTATTTGCTAGTAGGTTAAATTTATTGAATAAAATTTGAATATCATGTTATGTAAATTTTTTACATTAGTATGTTGACATTTTGTATTATGAACTTGTATTTATGTGACTATCAAGTTTAATATTAAACATACTTCACATAGTTTTTTAATAGGTGGGAAGTTATCCATAAGTATAATTAGTAAAATCAACAATAGGAAAAATTTCTATAGTGAATCGTGAAGCGAGCTTTGAGGTGGGTTCATAGATAAGGGACTTTGCTAACAATGGATGTATATATTGTGTATATATATGTATAATTTAATTTTGTTTGTGTTGTATTTAGTGTTTAATCTTTTATACAACTGGTCATAAGCTCAAATAACAGAGGAGGGTTGTGTGTTAGGTAGCCTGACAGCTAGCACAAGAAAATCTTGGTGAGATTCTTTATGAACATTTATGAAGCGCGGACACGGCGGGAGATACAATAATTTTTTAATTTTAATTTTTTATTATATATATTTACTATGTAGATTAATATTATGTTATCAAACAATCAAAATTGATAAAAACTAACATTAATTCAATATATATATATATATATAAACCATTACATTTAAACAAATTAATAGATCATCCATCCACAAAAAGACATAATAAAACATGTATATGTATAATCAGAAAACAAATCTAAAAAAATAAATAAATACAGAAAATAGAGTATTATAGTTGCGGGAGAGAGGTGAGAGAGCTGAGAGAGAGACGAAAGAGAAATATTTAAAAAAAAAACCTTCGTAGTGTCCCCTAACGTGTTCAAATTTGGGCACATTGTGTCCCTGTCGTGTCCTTTGCAAAAATTAATAAAATCAAATGGCGTGTCCCTGTGTTTCCGTGTCTGACACCTCTACGGCGTTTATTTTGAAGTGTCCGTGCTTCATAGATGAACATGAATCCTTATGGACATTTAGGTTAAAAATTAAGTAAAAATAAGAGGAAGTTTGTGTTAGTACATGGTTAGGTGGTTTAATTTATGATAATATATGATTTAATTTGGTTAATATGTGATTTAAATTAAATATTGTGTAAGAGAGGAGAGGAAGAGAAGATAACATAAAAGAAAACAATGAGGGGATTATGATAATTTTATACATTTTGTTAACTAGGTTAGTATTGCATTTTGGTCCAAACCATATGAGTGCTCTTCACATATATTTAAATGTTAGGGGTAAAGTGCTTTGGGCCAAAACCATTGGAGGAAAAAGTAGATTTTTCTCAAAAATGATATTATATATGTGTATGTATTGTGTAAAAATACAACTGTCATCAAAACTTCAATACTAAATTTAGATAATAATAATAATAATGATTATTATTATTATTATTTTACACAAATTTAGCAATTAAACAAATCAACAAATTTGTTTTGGCAATATTATGCTAGAGATAAGTCAGACAACCCAAACACAAAAGTGGGGATGATGTGATCAACACATTGTTCTCCAAAAACACGTACTTCCTACACAACACTCCACCAATCTGGAAAGAACCAATAAAATATTATTTTCCACGCCACAATGTTGAACCATTTCATCATGGAAAAAAAAAAATCAACGTTTCCATGTGCCAAACAATGCGTCAAGTATGGTACAATTCACAATTTGATTTATACAATTTGATTCATGTTGTTGAATCTTAAATTAAGTGAATCATATGATTCAATTGCTATTCACAATGATTCATGGCTATTCAATATGATTAGCTACAATTTAGTGCAATTTACTTTTGTTTGCATAATGCATGAAATGGTGTTGTTTTCACAAATAAAAAAAAAAAATTCAATTAATTATATTGATATGCATGATTTTATATGTATATACATGTATACAATGTAGTTATATTGATACTTTTTCATTTTAACACATGTATAAAATTATATATTATGCTAAATAAATTGAATCTTATGGTTCACTATTTAATACGACACTATTTGACAAAACCATTTAGGATTTGATTTGTGATTTGACAACAATAAACACTTGACATTTAAATACAAGAGTGTATACATCAAAAGTTACCTTTCCTGTGTTATCTGATTATAACCAGCAAATAAATACTGAATCTTGTATTATCAAGTTAATGTGGATGACAATCTCATGATTGTAAATTGTAATGCAGAATTGACATTCAAGATTCATAGATTGCTAGTTTTTCTTAGACATTTTTTACGAGTTGTATTGTGTTGCATATTGCACCAATGTTTCATTTTATCTATGCCATTTCAGGCTGTAATATAGGTTTGGGTCAATGATGCAAATACATTCTACTCATTTTTATACAATGCTTATGAAATTTTTTAAAAGAACTCAAGTAAGATGTAAAGGACCCAAAATTCTCTTTTGTTATTTTTGTTTTGCTCTCTTTCCAAGTTTTGGTTGATCGTGACAGGAACAAAGACCTTACCTTGCAGGTTTCCTCCAAAAAAATAGATCAGGTAGCCTTTGTATCAATTTTTTGATTATTGGATGGATTGAGAGTTTTCTTTTTTCTTATTCTGAATTTTCTTTCCCTGTTCTTTCGGAAGTTTTTTTTCCTTCTTCTCACAAGCGAGACTTTTTTTCCCCCTTTCTTTTCTGTTGTTGTGTAGTGTTATATAATACATGATTGTATGCTTATGGAATTAGAAGTAACAACAGTTTTTGTGCATACAGTCTGTTAGTTCAAATTTATGTCATGATGTCTTTTGTGGAGCTTAAATATGACTCGTGTATCCAATATGAGTATATTATTTTTGGTGTATCCTAGCATGTGATGTGAGCTTGAGATCTTGTAGGATTGCTTTATTGTATAGTTGCTTAACTACTCTTATTTGTTTAATTTGAATTTATTTAATTTGTGATTGCAGATGTGGTACAAGTTACTAAACACAATCTAATGTGTTAGGTGGTAATTATCTCACGTAAAAATAAAAACATTTCTTTGGTTAGCAAATGATAGACAAAATACATTAAATTTCTTGTACTTCTTAACAATTATGAAATGTCTATAACATGTGGTGCTTCGATGAAGCCCGTGCCCCGCCTCACACCTCTCGCCTCTTTCTTAGGCCCCAAGAGACCTTGGCGTGTTGGTGTGCCTATTGTCTTAAATAACACCATCTCCTATGGGGACTTCCCCCCCTCCTTAAACTCTTCTATAGGGTCCTCACTCCTCTATGCCCGCCCTCGGTTCTGCTTTGTGCAACTCTGATTCTCACTCTTTAACATGTATGTCTAGTAGTCATAAAAGAAGGAACTAAAAATTGTAGGCTTTCAAAATGATTTTGTTGAACTGTACTGCTATTAGAGATGTTTGAAAGATTTTAATGATTGACTTGACTCTTTACTAGATTCAAATGCATCTTCATTCCTAAGGTCAAACTTTCGTTTTTTCCGTTATTAATTTCATTTAGTGATTATTTAAGTGCATACTTATGTTGATTATTCATATTATTTAGCGCAGTGCAACTGAATTTTGTGGCCTTCAATTACATTCAATTGTTGTTTAATGTCATTTATCTTTCAAAATTATGCGAGTAATTGGAGCCTTGGAAGTACAAAGATGAACCACTTTTGCTAAATCTAGACCTATGTTACCTGGGACGTGGATTTTTCCGGTACGTGGAACGGGATCAGGAACGTGGTACGACGTATACTCTAAATGTGGTACGATAGGGGTAGACTTGTATATATTATACTTAAGAAGTTAAGGTCCTTATAGAGTAAATTTTTTAATAAAATGTAATATTTTCTATGAGCATTATGACCCAATTTTTTTGATTTTTTGTCTCGTCAAAACTTAAATCACCTTAGATTTTAGTTCATTATATTTGATTTTTTTCCTCCGCAGGTAACATTTAAGGACATATATTGAAAAACTTTTGGGATCGTTTTGGATCACTATATTTACCGTTTTGGAACGGAAGTGCACCATGTTTCGGAAGTACATACCAATATGTAATTCGTTAGGGTATTAGTGTTTTCTAGTAGCATAGATCTAGACACTTTTTGTTGTAGGCACCTTCTAAGAGACTAGTCATTTTCCAAATGGAGTTCAGAATTATTTTGGCTGACTCAATATATAGTTCATCGCATCTTTAGGTATCAAATCATGTCTCAAGTTTGTTTTCCCCTTTTCAATATGCCAGTGTGTCTAATATTGTCCATCATTTACACATGTACTTTAAAGGAAGAGTAAGAGTCTCAAAAATTAGTTAAAAACTTTGCTTCTCTAAAACTAGTAATCTTAAACTTCTAGCTTGGTGGTACTTAATTAAGATAGTAAGTGACAAGGAAGTTTCTATATTCGTTATCGAGATATGTAACTAACTTTCGTCCTGGCCACGTTCAACTTTTGTGTGTTGCTCTATGAATATTGCATAAGATATAGAATTAGGATAATATGAGTAATTTTAAGGAAAAAGATGAATCATAATGCCACATTATTGAAGCAACAAGCAAATAAGGACAAATTGGGATATTAGACTTAAAAGTTTTTATTTTGACATGGCTTTTGTGCCATCAAATATAGTCACTGGTTTAATAAGTTGCACAGGAAATGTTTCAAAACTAGTAGAAATAAAACTGAATATATGGCATGTGACATTAACAACAGTTGAAATGGAAATAATAGTGAATATTGAAAACTAAGAGAGAACAAATAGTGAACGTTTTTGTTATTTTGATTCAATTATTAATAAGGACGGTGAAGTTAGAGATGATATGATTCATAAAATCAAAGTAGGTTGGCTCAAGTTGAGGAGTGCGTCTAACATATAATGTGACCAACAAATACCCAACAAAATTGGAAGGAAAATTTTATAGAACCACTGTAAGGTCAGCAATGCTTTATGGAACAAAGTGTTGGGCAATTAAAAAACATGTGCATAAAATGAGTATAACTGATATGAGATTGCTTAATTGGAAGGTAGAAATGAATATATTTTCTGAAATGGTAAGAGTAGTGCCTATTAAAGATAAGTTGAGAGAAAATAAGTATAATATTTTCATTGAATGCGTAGTTACCAAGTATGTGACTAGAGGAAAGACATGCTTTATTGTATGGTTGCTGGTAGTTCATATAAACAGCAATAAGATGAATGGATCTGAATAACTTTAAGAGTTATTCTGGGGACCCCAAATAAATTACCAAATCTCTCACATAAGTGTGTGACCCACACAAATCACGTGTGTGGGTCTCACACCCATGTAAGAGGTTTGGTAATTTATTTGATAATTTAGGCCTCGTTTGGCAAGAGGCTATTTTAGCCAATTAGCCAAAAAGTTACTAAATTAGCCAAAAAGCCAACAACCCATACCAAAAAGTCAAAGATTCTCTTTTCTCTCTACTTTTTGCACATCTTTTCGTAATTAGCCAAAAAGTCATCCCAAACATACAAGTTTTTTTTACCTACTTTTTTAGCCAAATAGCCAAAAAGTTACTAAATTAGCCTGTTCCCAAACGAGGCCTTACTTGCGATTCATAACATTTTCCGAACTTTAATTTGGATTGGTGGCAATTTGAGTGAACATAGACGAGACGCCTTCAATTAAATGCATTTGCAAACTCAAGGCTTCCATTTGTTCAGGAAAAAAGACCAGGCAAAGCTCTTCTAAATTTTTTTTGGCCATTTGAAAATAAGGCTATTGAGCTCCTTAGAATGGATGAGTGCTTTCATTCAAAGTCAAGGTGTTAAAAAAAATAGAAAAAGCTAAAAAGAATTTAGGTTGGCGGCCATAATGAGATATGATCTAATATGCTGTATGGCTTTTGATTGAGCTGAACAGTAAGAAGGCACCTTTAGATGACCTCAAATTGATAAAATTGAAGGCTTTGATGCGAGCTTAACCTGGCTTCTTTCGCATATTTTATTTTCAATTTTTGTGGCTTTCTTCTTTTTGTCTTTTCTTTCCCCTCTGTTTTAGTTTCATGAATGACGGAAATGCAGTTCATCCATAAATCTAGAGTGACCATGAGTTTTAGCATCTTGTTGTGTCTGATAACAACTGGTATTGATCAATAAGTAGTTTCTTATCTACACCTGCTAATACTATCATTTGCAAGCAGTGAGCCTATCCCTTTGTAACAAGAAGTTTACTCAAGGGACACAGTCATTTCTTTTGAATGCAGGGATGGCCTGGTTTTGGAATGTCCTGATTGATGGCTGTATATAGCTCCTTAAGTTTGGGTTCACTTGACAGCAACATTTGTAAATTGGTGAATCTGAATTATAGTAGTCATGTTTTCTTGTGGTTGTGATAATTCTGGTGCATTCACTATAGTTTTTATATGTGATAACAAACTTGCTTGGAAAATAAGGAACAACATGCCTCTTTTCCATTCTAGCTTTTGAGCAAAGCTGAAAAAATTTCACTAAGACCTTAAATGTGTTGGCACATCACGTTGTAGTTTAGGATTTCTATCTGCTACAATGCAAATTGATGGAAGTAGTGGATGTCTATGCTTAGGATTTTCTTAATGTCCATACTGTGTTCTTCCCACGTGCCATACATTTTGATAACACTTGCCAAGCAGAGAAGTTGATGTTGCTGTGATCTACATATTTCCATGCTCATGAAATTTCTTTTTCAATCTCTTACAGTTTGTTTTCATTTTCTAAACCCAGTTAATAAACCAAAGAGTGTATTTGTCAGTTTGATAATGGAGCTGAATACCATCAAAGATGCATTTGATCGTGTCACAAAGAAGCAAAAGCTGTCCTCTTCTAAATCGCAAGAAGTAATCGAACAGCTCAGCCAAGAAATAGAAGAGGCATTATTAAAACTACAATCTATCCCTGATACAACATTCCAAGCCAATCATAAATTGATACTCACTGAACTGAAAACCAAGTTGAATGAGATTGCTCCACTTGGTCAGCTGGAAGGCACACAGAAGGAACTCAATGTAGCACTGAGCAAGTACCCAAAGCTCCTTGAAAAGTCTTTCAATCCTGACATATCAAAAGCTTATAGAAATGTTGACTTCGATGCTCACACAGTTAACCAGATAATTGCCAACCATTTTTACCGGGAGGGTCTGTTTGATCTTGGCGACTGCTTTATAAATGAGGCCAAGGAAACAGAAGCCACAGCAATGAGAACGCCTTTCCTGGAAATGTATCAGATACTTGATGCCATGAGGGCTCGGAATCTAGAGCCAGCGCTGAACTGGGCTGCCACCAACCGTGACAAATTAGAACAAAATGGATCAGACCTAGAGCTGAGACTTCACCGCTTGCAGTTTGTGGAAATGCTACAGATGAGAGGAAGAGATGAAGCTCTCAACTATGCCAGAACTTTCCTAGCCCCATTCGCTTCCAACCATATGACCGAAGTCCAGAAGCTCATGGCATGTCTATTGTGGGCTGGTAGGCTCGATAGCTCACCCTATTCTGAATTGCTATCCCCATCCCATTGGGACAAACTTGCCGAGGAGCTAACCCGACAATTCTGTAACATTTTGGGACAGTCTTGCGAGAGCCCACTGAGTGTGACGATTGCAGCAGGAGTCCAAGGGTTGCCGACCCTTCTGAAGCTGATGAATGTGATGACGGGGAAGAAACAGGAATGGCAGTCCATGAAGCAGTTACCCGTGCCGGTGGATTTGGATAGGGAGTTTCAGTTCCATTCCATCTTTGTATGCCCAGTGAGTCGAGAGCAAGCAAGCGAAGAGAACCCTCCAATGTTGTTGTCGTGTGGGCATGTGCTCTGTAAGCAGTCGATCACAAAGCTGTCGAAGAATAACAGCACAAGGCCTTTCAAGTGTCCGTACTGTCCGTCGGAGGTGGAAGTAGCGCAGTGCAGGCAGTTGTATTTCTAATGTGTACTTGTTTTGTCACATTAAAATGTACTGAAACATCATGTGTGGTGGAGACGAAGTATTGTGGTGATGGTGGTGTCATTGTGGCAAAAGCTGGTCTGTTGTTGTTGTGTACTGTTGTTAATTGAAATTCAGTGTATATAGAAATTCTTTGCACATTAATGTGATGAGTGAAAAAAAAACAAATGATGTCACCCAAAAAAAGGAAGAAAAAAAACACATGATGGTTGTCTGTGCTAGCAACTTTGGGAGGTAATTTCAAGCATGGAGTCAGTAATGAACTCGAGTTTTTTAAATGCAAGTTGCTTTGAATTTATTGAGAAAGTTTAAGCGCATATTAAGTTTTACACAAATCTGATATAAAAAATAGGACTCGAACACTTTTGTGAGAATCTTTTATATTCGTAACGAAGCGGAAACTTTTTATTTAAAATTGAAGTCAATTTATGAAAACATGACTATACAAAGTTATATGTGAGTTTTGAGTTTGAGAAATAAGTTGTGGATATTTGGATTTGTGAAATTTATTATGAAGAGACAAGAATTTGGCAAAAAACACTGTTGAAAAAATGTACGTGCCTTGTAAAATTTCTATTATAGAGACTTGTCTACAATAATCTTTATATTGTATGGTATGATTCATATCATAGTGGTGGGTGGAACATGCACAGTAACAGAATAGCAGGATGCGCCTTTTTAAGGAGTGAGGCAATGTCTGGTAGAAAATAGAAATATAAACAGTTTTCTTTGGAATTTTGACACTAAAATTGTAGTAGTAATGTAATGTAGAGAGCTGGTAAAGACAGACTTTGAACAGTAGAGAGCTGTAGAGCCACTCAAAAAACAGAAAAGCTATATATAAGAAAGAAGGTGCGCAATTTCAGGATGAGGAAATCATCAACTCTCCAAAAGTAAAACATTTCCTGACACTATCATATCCACACACATACATAATAATGTCAATCACTTTTGATGTCTTAGGTTTTTCTATGTCACACACTACTATGTCTTTTTTTTTTCATCTTTTAACTCAGCACACCTGTAGTTGGAAAAAAGCTTGGTCACTTTCATCCTGAATTTTCACAAACGTGTAACTAAAGTCATGCAAAGCATTGACTTGTTTATATCATCAAAAAGAGTAGTTGAAGGTGTATAGAAAGCAAATACAGAGGATTGTGTCTCATTTTATATTTAGAGTATTATTGAGTTGGAGGTGGGTTTGGGAGAATATCACCAACTAAAATTACTATTGGCATATTGAGGATTTCTTCGCCCCCATTATCATTCAAATTGACAGCTTGATTGAATATTTTGACAATTTTAAACCAATGAATTGGGTGCCTTAGAAATGCACAATGAGAAAGATCATCAATGAACTAGGGGGATGTTAGTGTAGCATTATGTTAGTGTAGTGCATTATGTTAGTGTATCATTATCTTTGTGTAGTGTAGCATTATGTTAGTGTAGCGTTATGTTAGTGTTATGTTAGTGTAGCATTATGTTAGTGTAGCATTATGTTAGTGTAGCATTATATCATTATTTAATTGTTCATAGGCATCCAAGGCATCCTCTATAAATAGAGTGCCTTCTTTGTGTAATTGAAATATACAACTTATAGAAACAATTGTGCCTCTCTCTCTCTCTCTATTCGCTCATCTCTATCTTCTCTTACTTTCTCCAATTATTATTTCAGTATTATTGAATTGGAGGTGGGTTTGGGAGAATATCACCAACTAAAATTACTTTTGGCATATTGAGGATTTCTTCGCCCCCCATTATCATTCAAATTGACAGCTTGATTGAATATTTTGACAATTTTAAACCAATGAATTGGGTGCCTTAGAAATGCACAATGAGAAAGATCATCAATGAACTAATTTTTTATTTTTATCGTTTACAATTTCAAAGGAAAAAGCTTATTATTTATTTCAAAATTTGACTCAACTTACAAATTATGTTTTTATTCTAAATCATATTTCACAAATAAATATACAAAAAAAAAAAAAAAAAATAAACTAACACGATCAGATAGCTATCGATATCCAATCAACGTGATTTTTTATAAGCATATAGTAATCACTTTTGATGTCTTAGGTTTTTCTATGTCACACACTACTATGTCTTTTTTTTTTCATCTTTTAACTCAGCACACCTGTAGTTGGAAAAAAGCTTGGTCACTTTCATCCTGAATTTTCACAAACGTGTAACTAAAGTCATGCAAAGCATTGACTTGTTTATATCATCAAAAAGAGTAGTTGAAGGTGTATAGAAAGCAAATACAGAGGATTGTGTCTCATTTTATATTTAGAGTATTATTGAGTTGGAGGTGGGTTTGGGAGAATATCACCAACTAAAATTACTATTGGCATATTGAGGATTTCTTCGCCCCCATTATCATTCAAATTGACAGCTTGATTGAATATTTTGACAATTTTAAACCAATGAATTGGGTGCCTTAGAAATGCACAATGAGAAAGATCATCAATGAACTAATTTTTTATTTTTATCGTTACAATTTCAAAGGAAAAAGCTTATTATTTATTTCAAAATTTGACTCAACTTACAGATTAGACGAAAATCATATTTCACAAATAAATATACAAAAAAAAAAAAAAAATTAAACTAACAAAATGCAAATAAAATGGACAAGTGCAAATAGGCGAGTTTATAAATTGGGTTGGGGTTCTCTCCAGTTCGTGATTAGACCATAGGGTATTGTTGGGCCCATGGGGACCTACCACGGGTCATTTTTTGATAATTCGAATAGTTTAATGTGGAGAACTCGTTGAGTACTATATGTCTATAAAAAATTACTTTTATCGGATATCGATAGCTATTTTATCAAATCAGATTTCTGTCAATCATTTATTTTTTCACCGTTCATTTTTTTTAATACAAAACTGATTTGATCACGTAATTATCAATATCTAATTAATGTGATTTTTTACAGACATATAATACTCGACGAATTTTACACATTGACAATTTAAATTATTAAAACAGAATCCGTGATAAAGCCTAACACTACTTTTCAATCCGTAATCAGGCTGGAAAAAAGTCCATCATTATAAATTTTAACCTGCAAACTAGCTAAGCTGCCCAACCCAATCCACTTACTTTCTCAAACTACACGTGTCCGTTTGGGTTAGCTCGGGTTGACGCGATAGTCAATTTTTTACATCCCTGCAGAACACTACTGATGTATGAGGGGAGAAAAAAAATAAAATAAAAAATAAAAAACATATATATACACAATTGAATGGTCCACAATACTAAAGTGTCTTGCTTGCTTAAGAGTAGAAAATTGAAATGGTCTGGTTAGCACATGCCTAACTGGATCATGTCTCTATCAATTTTGTCAATTGTCAGTTTTTAGTGTGGATATGGCTTTGAATTACTCTTCCAAAGTTTTATTAATTTTTGCCCAACTTTTGAAATTTATGGATTAAAATGTTTTTGACGTGGCCCTCCTGCTGCTTAATGCAATTCTGATAATAGAAATAGAGTTCTAAAACAAATTTTTTTGAGATAAATTATTAATAAGTCTTAATAGTTAAATTTAATTTACATCAAATCTCATTAAAAATCGTTGCTAAGAATAATTTTCTGTGACAATTTTTTATATATCGCTAAAAATTAATAATTAATAAAAATCTTTGTCACGGTTTTTATAAATTGTCGCTAAAATTTATAATTAGTAACTTTTTTTGTGATGAAATTTACAAACTGTCGCTGAAAGTTAAAAATAAATGAATTTTTTGTGATAATTTTTTTAAATTGTCACTAAAACTTATAATTAATGACATTTTTTTAAATAAAATTTTCAAACTGTCGTTGAAAATTAATAATTAGTGCCATTTTTAATAGTGTTTAATAAAAAATGTTATTAATTCTCATAGGACCTATTAGATAATAAGTTCATTTATTAGGATCTATAAGTAAGTTTTCCAATTTCTTTTAAGCTAGATTTGCATTCAGTACGTTAAAAATTTATCTAAAATGATTTATTATGTAAACATGTCAAACTCAACATATTTTGAAACCTGATAAATTTATGAGTATGAATCGAATTCAAGCTGATAAGCCTATACTAACTATAAAAACTAAGTTATTTTAGTTTGAATCGATTAAAGTTTGTTTGAGATCACCTTCAAAAATAAGAAAAATAGACTTTAATATAATTTGGAACTCTGTTTTTAAGTTAAATTTAAATAATTTGCTACTTCCCTCAATTTGACTCACTCAAATTTTTTTATTTTACTTATTATTTGTTCTGGGAGGCGGTATTTTTGTATCTAAAACATGTTTAAAATGATAGATCGATATTCAACTAAAGTTTTTAAATATGCTTATTAAATTTTTTTTCACACATTTTAAATTTTTTTTTGAAGAAAATTATAATTTTTTTTAAAAAAATTTGACCATTGTAACAAAATAAACTTTGAATTTTTAATTTTATCAATTTAAAATAAAATTCTAATTTGTTTTAATATAAAGTGTTTGTCTATTTTCGTTGAGTAAAATCAATAGAAAATATATTTTTTAAATATTAAACTCAATTATAGATTGTGTTTAATGGTTAAAATACTTTTTTTTGTCAGTTTTACTTAACAAAAATAGGTGAGTGATGTAGATTGAAAAGAAATTAAAAGATTAGGATTTAAATTAAAAAATTAAAAATTTATTTTGTTAAAAGACTCAAATTTTGATTTTTTTTTTGTAATTATTCTTATTTTTTTTTTTTAGTACAAGAATCTATAATGTATATAGCAGGCATAGAAAAAAAAAATTAACGAATGTATTTAGAGACTCTTGCAGGCATATATAAAGTTGTATATATAGCTTTTTAATATAATTTTCAATTTATATAACCTTCCTACGTGTAAATTGATAGTGAATCAATCTAGGTCTCTGTTGTGGATATTCAACGGGGGAAGGAAATTGAAGGATGAATATCTATGGAGATGACCACCGGGTTGGTGGTTTAGTGGAGAGTATATTTCTTACAAGCGTGACTCAGGTTTGATTTTTAAAAGGAGTGAAATGTTGGGTAATTTTAGTAATTTTTTGTGGAGATCTTATTTTGTATTTTGTTTTGTTATTCAATTGAATCTTGGATTTGTTTGTGACATATGATTGAGTTCCGCTGATATCTTAGTAGTGTATTCCTTTCTATGAATTAGATTAAATCAAGTTGACAATCAATTATTTCGAGATCTGAGCCTAAAGGTGCATGTTAGATTATCTTTTTTTTCTGTTTAAAAAATAAAAGGATAACTATGGAGATAAGTGGGGCCCTTTCCATTGCACTAAACCTTGATAATGATACCCATTGGTCCATTGTCATATTAATCTATTATTTGATACATCCCCTTCCTTCCATAGTTTGAATTATCTTCTCTTTCCTTTGCATCCAAAAAAGTAAGAAGCTAAAAAATAAATTATCTTCACTTTTTTTTTTTTTGGCCATGTTTAGCCTGTGTTTGACAAGGGCTTTTTCAGGTTTTTTTGTTATTCTAACCACAAAAAACAAAATAGGCTATTTTAGCCATAACAAACAAAATATCACATCCAACCTATAATCATTACATTCTTCTCTCACAAAAAAAGTCAAAAAAGCCAAAAAGTCAAAAAACTCTTCCCAAACCAAGCTTTTTAGCCCAGGCTAAAATAGCCAAAAAAGCCAAAAAACCAAAAAGCCAACCCACTTCCCAAACGGAGGCTTAAATATCCTGAATTAATTGACTGCGCGTTAATTTATATTTGTTTTGGAGATTAATTCCTATCATTATGATAGTCGTTGTTAGAATAGTCGTTGTTAGAAAGTCACTTTGAAAAGTTAAAAAAATAAAAATAAAATAAATGACAAAATTTTTAAAATATCATCAAATAGATGTATTTCTAGGAATAAAATAATTGGATGCCATAATAAGCCATTTTATCATAGTTTTGGAAGTCCAAGTAAGAACTTCTTTTTCTTTCCTTGTTTGAGTCATATTTATTTATTTAGCTTTTTATTAAAAAGTATTCTAAACCACTTGTTAATAAAATTGAAATGACTATATATTCTTTATAAAAGTGTCTGTTATAAAAATATATAATTATTTTAAGTTTTGTTTACTAATGCTCCTAGAAGTTTAGTTAACAAGATCCATCAAGAATTTGAATTGCATTGACTAAACAAAATTGTTGTTTTAGAAATCTTGTAAATGAGTGTTCTGTATGTATGACATATTTTTATAAAGAATGTAAAACTATTTCAACTTTTTTACCAAGTATACTTGAGACACTATGGTGAACACACTTTTTGTTTCTTTGTTTTCACTAAAATTTAGTTTTCAAACTCTGTTTTCCTCACTGTTCAAAAAAAAAAAAACTCCTCTTTCCTCTTTGTTCTGTTTTCACTTAATTTTATCAGTTAGACAAGCATCGATAGAAAACGATGAGCACAAAGTAGAAGCATTCAAATTATTTGTGGAACAACTTCTTTTTTAATTTTTTTTTATTGGTTTTCTCAATCCAAAACAAATTGGGCACTATGCTAATCTCAATCATTAAGTACAACACCCACGTAAAAGCACAAAATTTAAGTAAAATTTACAGTTATCATTGCTATTGGTGAAGTAACCATACCTGTAAAGAACAAAAGAAATAAAGCAATTTCACACACACACAACGTTAAAAGGTTTGGTAAACGTGCTCATGGAGGTAAGTGTAACATTAATCGCCATTAATTAGATGGTGAAAACAAGAACAAAGTTATGAAATGACTCAAAGTCAACTTCACTAATAAAGACTAAAACTTTCTACTTAAAGAAATTAACACATTTTGTCATTAACAATCTTTTAAGAAAAGGCTAAGCATACTTATACTAAGGATAATGTAAGGTCAAATTTGGCAATTGTAAAATAATTCATCATTTTATTTTTTATCTTTTTTTCATCACATCACCTCTCTATTTTTCTGCATATCTTTTCGTAAAAAAACAAAAAATATACTTATTTAGATCATCACAGACAATCCCTAAATATAACATTAATTGTCCATGTGATATTGCCCCAAAACAATTCAATCGCGTCAATACGTTATGAACAATGAATAATTGCTCCATAATTAAATATAAAATGAGTCACAAAAAATACAATGATAAGTTAAGATTTAATCCATGTCTTTGAGTTTAATTTTTTGTGAATTATTCTATAATTCATTTTATATTTTAATATTATTGGGATAAACACTATCAATCTCAAGTGGATTGAACAAAATATATTAGATCTTGATATAATTTTAGTTTTCAATTTTTGAAAAAAAAAAGTAATATTTAAAAAGTATGGAGTATAACACATCAAATACTATTCAAACCAAACCATAAAAGCAAATAGCTGACAAATTTTATTTATTTATGTGTTCTTCTAATCAATGAATAGTAATCATTTGGGAATTGGCATTATCTTGTCCTGCGCGAACACCATGCCCCACCACAACCACCACTTTGTCATTTAGGAACAGCCAAGCCAAACCCAAACAATAGCTCTCACCTCCCATTATAATAATACAAATCAACTAAACACACACCCAACATACCATTACCATAACAAATACATTACAAATGCATTTTCTGTCTTTTTTATCTTTCCCGTCTTCTCTAACAAAATCATTAAAACTCCAACTCAACAAACCCACCCCCACACAACAAAACAAAAACAAAAACAAAAACAAAAAAGAAAGAAAACAAAGCTACCATCTTCTCCTTCCCACCCCACCCATCATCCCTTTTTTTCGGGGCTCCCTTTTTTTCCCCCCAAATTTGTATTCCCCTAACACTGCACAAGGTATGTATAGTTACTTATTGAAAATTAATTAAAAAAAAAGCAGAGAAAACAGCAAATCAATAGAACAGCGAAAAGATTATTACACTTTAGATTTTAAAAAAAGAAAATTGTGATGCAATTATGATACACATGATGGACTCATGCACAAGAATAATTTACACCATGCCTATAGAAAACTTATACCACCATAACATAAGAAAATTTTTTCACAACACTGAAATCCAATTTCTAAAAAAATATAATTAAATAAGTACTTATTGGAGTGTTTTGAAAAATAGGTTAAAAATTAAGCCTGCATTTGGTTGTATTTTGTAAATGTGATTTTGAGAGTAAGTTATATTTTGAGTTTGTGTGTTGTAGAATTATAATTTGAGTGTAGAAAATTTGTTTGGTAAAGAGTTTTGAAAATAGTTTTAGAAAAGAGGTTTGATTTGAATGGGAAATTATTGATGTGACATTTGATATGTGATACAAAAATTTACAACTCATAACTAAACATACAACTCAAAATTATTTTAAAACATATAAAAAATTTAAAAATTTTCAGAAAATATTTTTCCCGATTATATAAATCAATTGCAAAAAAAAAAAAAAATTCACTGTTTCGGACAGCCGGCCGGACGTCCCGCTCCCTCAAACACCCCCTCTGCAACAAACAGAATGTTTTGACATATAGACAGAGCTTCCGGCAGAGTTTTGAAAAATTAATTCCAAAATTCTTACCAAACATCATGCTTAAACTCAAGTGTTGAAAACTATTTTCAGAGCATAAACAAACAGAGTCTAATTTTTTTGTTTTTTTTTAAAACAGTATAAAAATTGAGATGACTGAAAAAAACTAAAAAATTGGCTTTTAGCCAGATGTCAAAATAAACCATTACCGTCCACATAGATATTTAGTTGTAAAAAAACAATAAAAACGAAAAAATATTTAATCAGTTATTTGGTGATATAAATAAAATGAAGGATGAAAAAAATTGATTATATTTAACAATTTTCAAATAAAGACAAAAGCACAGAACCCCCCGCACTGAACAATCAGTCAATCGGCGTGTGGGTGGGTTCAGTATCCGATACTTTTAAGAAGTATCTGATACGTATCCGCGAGTATCCAAGGAGTATCGGTATCCGATAAGTATCCGATACGGATACGTCACCATTTTTGAAGTATCCGTGCTTCATAGCAAACATGGCAACTAAAAAATTTAGTCGGGAAAACCTAAAATCCGACTTTTGGCGACTAAAAAATCACTTTTGGCGACTAAAAATTTAGTCGCCAAATGTGTATTTTCTTGTAGTGTGCCACTAAACCCAATTCAACATTCACCTTAAAGATCAGAGCATCATCACCATCATCCATCTTGGTCACCTCCACCAACATACATGGGCTAAGACCAAGGCCTCTCTCTCTGTCTTCTCTGCAGAAAGGGCCGACCTGTCGGAATCTCGCATTTTCGAAGCCGTGCAAGTCGCTCACTCTATTCAACGACTTCCTCATTATAGCCACTTTAGCCAACCTCTCCGCAGCTCTCCAAGCCGATGTCGGCGTAAGCGGCTCACCCTTCTCATCTACCAATGCAGCCACAGCAGCAGGGACGACCTCCCGCTCCGTCGTATTTGTCCTCGTCGTCGTCCTCCTCCGCCGTTGGATCTCCTCAGTCTGCTTCTGTCGCCGCAACTGGACCTCAGACAACTCGGCTTCCAAGCCACGGATAAACTCATCAGCCGAAGCCGACTTAGACTGCATCAATAGAGCTCGAGCTGAGGAGAGCATGTTGTGCGCCCCTGTGACGTCGTTGCGTTGAATCAAGCGGTGGGATTCAGCTACGGCACGCGTTGTGAAGAAGAGGCTTCTCAGTCGTTCGATGCTGGGAGTTGATGATCGGACGGCGTGGGGCCTTGGTACCAACAGGGCTTGCTCTTTCCCATAGATAAGCTCTTGAGTTGATGGGTCTTTGTAGCAGCATCGGACGGACAGGACGTGGTGGGCCCCTATAGCAGATGATGGAACCTTCAATTCAATCAAAACCTCTCTCTCTTCCTCAGCGTATAGATCCCCGAGCCGGATTGAACCGGATCCGAGAGAGGTGGGCCGGCCCGAGCAAGAGTAGACCGCCCTGATCTCCGCCGGAGCTGAACCGGACGCGAACCCTAGCTGAAGCCGGAGATCTTGAGCCACGACGCTTAACAAACCGCCCACGCATTTCGCGAAGGCGTCGTCGGAAGGAGCGTGACTATACGCGCCGCCTTGGCCGAATCCGACCGAGTGTACAGGAATCTCAACGTGAGCAAAGCGAGTTGAGGACACAACGGATGGTTGGGATTTCAGATTGGCAGAGTTGGTAGCGGAGGACTGGCCATCGTGACCGTCCGATAAGAGCATGATGCTTGCGACTGGATTTCTCTCCCGGCGATCTTCGAGAACCTTCCCGGCCTTCTTCAGCGCGTCGCTGGGACTCGACGTGCCTTGGCTGAAAACAATGGCGTCCACGATGCGACGGGCCGTTAGCCGGCCGTTCGTCGTCATTCTCCTCAGCGGCAACAGCCTTTTCGAGCTCGCAGCGAACGCTACAATGGAGAGCCGATCGGAGGAGGAGAGAGACGATACCACCAATCGCATTGCGCGCTTCATCATCTGCACTTTCTCAGCTGTCATGTTCCCGCTAACATCAAGCACCGTCACCAAATCAATCGGAACACGACGATCATTCTTCGCCGGCAACGCCGGAGCTTTAAGCTTCAAGACTATGGCGTACGTCTCGTAACTCCGTCCTACCGATACAACCGCCGCTTCCGGCAACAACATCACCTCCACATTTCTGTAACTCGAAGTAGGCTGTTGAATTGGACTACCATTCGTGTTGACGCAAAATCCTTGAAACTCTTCGACTCCGTGTTCGTTTTCGTTGTCATTGTCTTCGTCCTCATTTTCTTCAGCTTCTGGAATTGGATTGAACCGAGACACTGATTTGGGAGACATCAATGGCTCATCATCGTTGTAAACCTTCAAATCAGACCTGGCGTATTGCTTTCTTTCGTTCTTCGCTCTAACATCTACTGGCTCTGCTGGTTCTTGCTTCTTCTCTTCGACTTGTGGTTTCTGATTGTTGTTGGTGGTGGTGGTCAATACAGGTAACTCTTTCCAGTTGGAGCCGCACACAGGACACACAAGGCAGCCTTGCTTATTGATGTGCGTGACGATGCAGGGAAAGTGAAAGCTATGAGAGCACTCCGCCGTGAAAATGGCGGTCCCTTGACCTGTCTTCACGCTCTGCAAACATATTCCACATCTACTCTGCTCACAAAAAGGTCACACAGAGAGAGGGAAAGCTTTTTAAAGTCAGAATTTACTCATCACTTTCCGAAAATCTCTTTATTGCCAAAATTCCACTGTGCAAAGTGTCGAAAAAGGAGAAATCATATATAATGGAAGCAGCACATTAGTAGTATATCAATACTTACTTTGTAGAGACGCAAGCTCGATTTGAGTATAGAGAAAGTCGAAGGTGATCGAGGAGAAGATGGAGTAGAGCGCTGGAAGAACCTGGGGCTGTTTTTGGTCTTGCATTGGAGCTTAGGGGTCTCTGGAACTGATTGCGTCGGAACAGTCGCTGTTGTCACAGTCCGGCACCGGAGGCTAGGGCTTGGAACGGGCAATCGAGGCGTGGATGGATTGGAGAAGAAACCGAATTTGGAACCGAGTTTGGGGGTGGGATTGGTGTTGTTGCTAGGTTCTTGCTTCTTCTCCTTGGGTAGCTTCGACTCTCCATCTCGGGAAATGGCTGTACAAAATGCTCTTCGCCATCCAAAAACCATTTTTTCAAGTCTCTGTAAGTAAAACTCAAACCCACAATTTCTCTACCACTCTGTTCTCACTCTCTCTCTAATTTTATAAACACACTTGTGTGCTTGTTTTTATGGAATATGATCTGGTATTGGAGACGCCATATTGATTGACAATGGTTCACGTACAGATAACAATTGATTGCAAGAAAAAGAATATATATATATATATATCCTTCTATTTTCTGTGAGGATAGATAGGTGGATAGAGCCAGAAAGATCTCTGCAAAAGCAACCCCTTTCTATCTCTATGGCTATGCTGCAAAAGGGTCCAAAGTCTCTCCCTCTCTCCAAGAGTTGTTAGCCTCCATATAACTTATATTTGAGAGAGGGGGGAGGCTTTTTACGAGGTGGAATATTTTAATTTGAGATGCTAGAAATTTTTAAATGTTTTATTTAGGCTCGTTTGGGACTTATTTTTTTAGTTAAAAAATCAAATAATTATTTTTTTAGTAAAAAAATTAACAATTCATACTAAAAAATTAAAAATTCTCTTTTTTCTCTATTTTTTGCATATCTTTTTGTAATTAGTCAAAAAATTATCCCAAACATATAAGTTTTTTTTACCTATTTTTTTAGCCAAATAGCCAAAAAATTACTAAATTAGCATGTTCCCAAACGAGGCCTAAATGTTTGTAAGATTCACTTGAGATTTATATGGCGTGAATTTTATGGATATTTGATATTTTATAGATATTTGATAAAAATATTAATAAAATTTTTAAAATTTTTAATACTTTTTTTTTATTTTAAAATAATAGGTTTTTTTGGAAAATTTATTTATTTTTATAGTATAATTATTGTATTTTAAAAATATTAATTTTTTAAAATTATCTTTTGATAGCATATTTTTTTAAGAATATCAATTATTATAATTGTACTTTTTATAATGTTAATAAATTTAAAAAATAACAAAATAGAAAATTTATATTGTTTTAATTCTTAATTTTTAAAAATAGACTAATATTTTAAGATAATGAAAAATAAAATAAGAAACTAAGGCCTTGTTTGGTTTGTATTTGAGAAACATGTTTTGAGATAAAAAGTACGAAAATTTGTTTAGTTTGATTTTTTTTCAAAAAGATGTTTTGAAAAACAATAATGATTCATCCCACTAAAAGTATCACCACTAATAACACTAATGCATTAAAAAAGTAAAAAAAAAAAAATACAACTCGAAGACCAAAACATCACATCATTAATGGCAGGACCCACTGCCACCTAATTAGTGGGGAGCACTAATTAGTGCTCCCAAGCATTTTTCTTTGAAAAATTATTTTGAGAGAAAGTTTTGAAAAAAGTGATTGATTTGATGTGTATGAGAGAGATTTGTTTGGAAAATTTGTAAACCAAACAAGTTTTGGAAAAAAAATTTGGAAAATTTTATTTGGTTTGATTACTTTTGAAAACTTTTATAGATAATTTTTCCTCAAATTTTTTGAGAAACAAGTTTGTTTTTCAGAATTTTTTTTTGAAAAAATTCTCTATAAACAAATTTTCAAGAGTAATCAAACTAAACAAATTTTTTCAAAAAAATTCTCAAAATTTTGTTTGGTTATTTACTTTCCAAAATCATTCTCTCTCACATATGCATCAAATCAATTACTTTTTTTAAAACTCTCTCCCCAAAATAATTTTTCAAAATCATTTCTAAAAAAGGCAAACCAATCAAGTTTTCGTACTTTTTATGTAAAAAATTACTCTATAAACACAAACCAAACACACTCTAATATATTAAGATGGAAAAAAATATTTATTTTTTTAATTTAAAATTAAAAAAGGGTTCGGGTTTTTTTTTTTTTTTTTCGGGGGTGACCGGCAAATGTAGGTTATCAGTTTTCACACTTGTGGGGTAGCAAGTCAACGGGGTCGGCTTTTTGCCTCATCTGCTGTAACTTTCCCATTCCAACGTTATGGACACCGACCGCTGCTGCACCTGCACAGAGATCTCCAAGGCAATAGTGCCCTTTGTTAAGGGCACCCCACCCTTTCGCCTTACGCTTCGCTTGCCACCCCCACCCACTGCAATCCTCTCTTCGTTCAAAAATCTTCTTTACATATGCCTAGTTTGGAACAGATATTTTTTAATTTTTTTTAATTAAAATATGATATAAAAAAATTAAAATATTTGAAATAATTTTTTAATTTTTACAAAAAAATATACAAAAAGTAGAGAGAAAATAATTTTTTTGATTTTTTAGTGTAAGTTGTTAGATTTGTAATTTTTTTAATAATTTTTTAATTTTTAAACTAAAAAGTGATATTACCAAACGAAGCTTAAGTTTATTATGTTGTTTCTAAATACTAACAATTATTAAGTCATGTTTTATATTATCACATTTTAAAATTTTTAATAATCTTACGATTAATAGTGTTTTGCAAAGAGACAAAAAAAAAGTTGTATCCAATTATTTATTTATTTATTTGGCTTAAATCATTCACAATTAAATCATGTTTAATGATTTTGAATGTTTTATAATAAAGAGTAAAGAATGTTTTGTATTCAATTTTTTTTTGGGTTAAAAGGAAAATAACACAGAATTAAACTATTGGAATACAAATTTTTTTTATCGATTTGTTTTAAAACACTCACAACTATTAAGTCATTTTTAATATTATCACATTTTAAAATTATTATTGATATAATGGTTATAAAATTTCCTACAGTTTGTTTCAACATCCTCATAATTATTAAATTATATTTTAAATTTATCACATTTTCAATTAATATAAATTTTTTTTTTTTACCCCTTTATCTCCAAGAAGTTTTTTTCCTTCTTTTTATCATTTTTACACACTCACGTGACTCTTCCGTTTTATATTGATCAGACACGTGACTTACATAGCGGGGTTTTTTTTGACTACTTCTGTTGCTGCGCGTTCTCTCTCTTTGTGCCTGAATTCTGATGCAATGATCTTATCCGTTGATATGGTATCTTGTTGATTTTAACGAGAGAGATGAGATCTTGACGATGCTTTGGTTTGGGGAGGGTCAAGTTAGTCAATTCAAACATTTGAGATTCCATTATTAAATGGTTGGAGAGAGGGGATGATAAAATAACGGTTACCATGATGCTACTTCACAATTGGTACTTTGATTTCTGCCATTATGAGGTTGCTTGATTAATTCAACAGTCAATGGTCAAATACCAATTATATACAAAACCACATTAATCACTATTCTGCATTTAAGAGGACAGGATAGGGTGCATCATACTACTACTTTATGATTTTTTTTAAAAAATTTAAGTATTGCATTATTCTTAATGCATCCTGATTGAGCTTATAAATTCTTCTTTTTAAGTTTTTTTTTTTCACATATGTAACAATTTTCTTTTGTGTATAGCAAAGTTTGCATAAATGTATGGCTGTTTTTATGAGGTTGAGCTACAGGGACACCCTCATTGAATTGTTTGTAAGCATAATTTAGACGTTTAGAGGCTGGAGAATGGTATTTGGTTTTTTTTTTTATTTATAAAAATTTATTTTTTTCTTAAAAAATAATATATTATATTGTGTAGCAGTCAAATAGTTCAATCAATAAGAAAGGCTTCCGACTTGTAGTTAGGGATTCTCAAATGACATGCAAACAAAAGACTTAGGATTGGTTTGAGGTGTCCTAAAAAAGTATACTTTTTGTCTTTTTACGAAAAGATGTGCAGAAAAGTAGAGAGGTGGTGTGATGGAAAAAAGATAAAAAGATGGATTATATAAGTTATGCCAAACCTAGCCTTAATATTACCCAATCTGACCAACCCATTCCATGGATTGTCCTAACCCGCTTGTCCAGTCCGTCACAACCCATAAAAGATAATTCAAAACTTTGGACAAAGGTTTGTAATGCGAGCTATTTTATTTTCGTAAAATAATTAATATTTTAATTTTCAAAATCTATATAATCTTACTTCAATTCTTCTAAAATCTAAATAATTTTACTTTAGTCCCCCTTTACACAATTTCTGTGTTCCCCGCTACGCCGACAGTCCAATCTATAAGCCATCCATTTACTAATATCATCAATTTATAACTAAGACGTTTTTAATTTTTATAGTGTCTACTTCATAACATAATCATAATGGTTTATAATTAATTTTTTTTGTAGTGTCTCCTTCATTTCACTTAATAAGTCTAAGATCTAAACATGGCATGAGGAAAATGAAAAAATAAATAAAAATTTAATTATTTTTGTTGTTTAGTTGTTTTAATTAATAGCATTTCTCTTGTGAACAGGGGGGGCATAATTATCAGAGTGGAGGTGAACATCAAACCCTTCCAAAGCTTAACTGGCGTGGACCATAGGTTATCAAAATCAATAATCTAAATTTTCCTTTGTACAATTTGATTCCCAGCAACAATGAAAAAATGAATAATAAAAAAAAAGTTGTGCCACTTTCATGTACCCTAATGGTGTGACATTTTACATTTGATTAATCAATGGGCAAACATGGTCCCAATCGGACTAATATTATGATGCTCTCCATCTCCCCATAGTTTATTTTTAATTTAATTAATCTTATTGGCAATAAGTGATAGAATGTTGGTTATTTCAAAGTTTAAAAATGGTTAGATAATCATCATCTTTGTTGTAGGCTCATTTTTTTTTGGAAACATATTATTTTAATAATTTTTTGATTTTTTTATAAAAAGATATGTAGAAAAGTAGATATAACAATGTGACAACTCATAATAACTTTTTAATTTTTTGGCTAAAATATGTTGTCTCCAAACGAGGCCTCAGTTTCAATTCAACTATGTTATAAGTATAAAAGATTTTTACAAAATGAAAATATATAAATGTAAGATCAAATGTTAATCTCAAATGCAGGGTTCATTATATGTTTGACTCATCATTTATCTCATCACATCTATTTCTCATTATGTAAAAATTGACCGAGTTGATGGAGTGATTATAGCCCATTGTAATTTAATTTACTAACCCACTAACATTTTATCATTTAACAAAATAAAATGTGAAAATTATTTGTGCAATTAGATTTATTCATATCGATTTACATTAAAGTATTCTTAAAGCAAGAAGGCTAATATCAACAGATTTTATACAGTTAGAAATATCTCATTTTTGTTTAGTTGGCTTCATAGGTTTTACAATGGGTTTTATTTCAATAATTCCAGTAACTTCATCTTACACACTTGTGTAAAAATTACACTACGCCAAAATTGGGCTTTAACGGCGGTTTCGTTACCGCCGTTTATGCGTGTGTCGGAAAAAGTGAAACCGTCGAAAAAAGGTAAATTACCGTCGTTAAAAGTCGACCAAAAACGGCGGTAATATAGGA